GCAGGGGAATAGCGGGGATGCAGCCCGTCTGGCGTGTCTGGGTAACCCCGCCACCCGCCATCCCTAGTTCCGTGGCCGAGGCCCTGAAGATGGGGACACCTGTGGAGCCCGAGTATTTTGAGGAGGTGACGCTCTACTTCAGCGACATCGTGGGCTTCACCACCATCTCAGCCATGAGCGAGCCCATCGAGGTGGTGGATCTGCTCAACGACCTCTACACGCTCTTCGACGCCATCATCGGCTCCCACGACGTCTACAAGGTGGGGTGTGCGGGGGTGGGGGGGCAAAGCACCCTTCAGCTTCACCAGCCCCCAGCCTGCTGGCCCCAGTCCTTCAAAGCCCTCCGTCCCTTCTGCCAGCTCCGCAGGTTGGAAGCCTCCCCCGGATGCCTGCACTAACCCCCGTTGAGGTCCCCCGACAAGGGACAATGGCTTTGCGGGAGAGGGGTGCTCAGTACTGAAGCCGCACGACCCCTTCCCTCAGGTGGAGACAATTGGGGACGCCTACATGGTGGCCTCGGGGCTGCCCCAGCGGAACGGGCAGCGGCACGCCGCCGAGATCGCCAACATGGCCCTGGACATCCTCAGCGCCGTGGGCTCCTTCCGAATGCGCCACATGCCCGAAGTGCCCGTGCGCATCCGCATCGGCCTGCACTCGGGTAACTCCCGGGCCCTCGCGCCGGTCCGCCCCGCGGGGGCCCGGCTCCGCAGTCCAGAGACAGGACGCCCACTCACGGAGTGGGGGGTGGCGGTGGGGGGACGTGTCTGGGAGCCGCCTCTGCCTACCAGCCCCCCCCGTTGTGACTGAGAGGTACCCTTGAGAGTGTTGCCCTGGGGGGCGGGTGGAGCTGATGGGTGCCAGCGTCCCCCGAGGTGCTAGGTGCCCCCCAGCCGCCAACACGGCCAGCCGCAGCCCAGGCCCCGGCCGCACACCCTGTGCGTCTCCGCAGGCCCGTGCGTGGCGGGCGTGGTGGGCCTCACCATGCCACGGTACTGCCTGTTTGGGGACACGGTCAACACCGCCTCGCGCATGGAGTCCACGGGGCTGCGTGAGTGGGGTGGGGGCGGGCGGGGCTGGGCTGGGGGGCGACTCACTGAGCAGTGGGGGAACGGCCAGGGAGGTGGGGTGCACGCGGGAGGGGAGTCCCGCAATCCCCGCGCCCCCCTGTCATCCCAGCTTACCGTATCCACGTGAACGTGAGCACCGTGCGGATTCTCCACGATCTGGACCAGGGCTTCCAGACCGAGGTGCGAGGCCGCACCGAGCTGAAGGTGAGGCTAGGCCCCGCCCCGTGCTGGACCCGGGCCCGGGTTCCACTCAGACCTCAAGATCCACCCGCCCTCTCCCCAGCCCCCTCAGTGCTCCCCTCCCCCGTGTTTCCCCAGGGCAAGGGCGCTGAAGACACCTACTGGCTGGTGGGCAGACGCGGCTTCAACAAGCCCATCCCACAACCGCCTGACCTGCAACCGGGGTGAGGAGCTGTCCTCCCGCCCCTCACGCCTTCTCCGGGTCTCCTGCGGGTCATCTGCGGTGCCTGACCCCGCCCTCCCACTCCCCCTCTCTGAAGCTGCCGCCCTCTCTACCGCAGGGCCAGCAACCATGGCATCAGTCTGGAGGAGATCCCCCTGGATCGGCGACAGAAGCTGAAGAAGGCGAGGCCCGGCCTGTTCTCTGGGAAGTGAGGCCCAGCCCACACAGATGCTGCCCTTCTGCTCCCAAGGCCAGCTGCCAGTCTCCTCTCAGACTCTGGGAGATGCTTTCTGGGGAACAGGCACCTCTTCCCCAGCCTTAGGGCCTAGTGGCCTAGCCCTGCCTGCTGAACTTCCCACCCAAGCCGGGTGTCCCCATCCCTGGTCTGACCGAGTGAGCCCAGGCTCGTTCCTAAACCCGGGGACTTTCCCTGGGAGGGAAGCACCAGCTGCAGGGATCCTGGTTCAGTAGGTCTGGAGTGGTCCAGGAATCCAGACTTGAGAACCCCTGTACACATGACCCGAGACCTCTCCTCGGACCCCCCCCACTGCATTAACCAGGCATCCCTGCCAGGCTGCACAGGCCGTGCACTGCACAAGAGACCACTCTAGGGAGCAGCATTCGGCAGAGGACAAGATGAACGCTGTCTCTAGAGTTCTGTCAGGGCAGAAGCCCTGCCCTCTACCTTCCTTGAAAAAACTTTGATCCATGACCTTCCCCTTCCTAGGTGAACCCCCATGACCCCTTCTCGCGATTTGCCTTTGACACACTCCTCATTCTCTCAGGAGTATTCCGGAAGGTCCTTTTCCTGAAAGTTGCTGCTATAGGTGACCAAAAGTCTGGCTAATAACCAGTGGCTTCTCGCCAGCTCTGCCTCAAAGGATTCTGGGCCTTTTCAGGAGCTGGTTGCAAACCCACTGTGTGACCTCGGGAAAGTTTCATGCGCTCTCTGGGCTTGGGTTCCCCCTCCATGATGAAATAAGGAGAGGCCTAGGTGGTTTCCGCACTCCCCTGCTCTGACAGCTAAGCATCAGCGTGGTTGGCCTGGGGATACGGGCCACTGGGCTTGGGGCCTCCAGCCCCAGTGACTCTGAGCCCATCAGGAGAGGTTGGGGTGGGGATTCTCCACTTTCTAGGCCCCGCCCCCCAGGCCCCAGGCCCCAGGAAGGAGGGTCTGGGATTGGCTGCCCCAACCCCAGAGGTGGGGGGAGGAGACCTCCTGTTCCTCCAGAGCAGGGTTGTCCAGTGGCCTGAGGATTAGTCTCTGTTACCTTCCAGCATCCTTCCCTTCATCCCCCCCACCCCGGCCCCACCCAGTCAGAAACCGGCTCCTCACTCGGGCACAACCGTGACTTGCCCAAGTGCAGAGAAAAGCCGGCTTCAAGGCTTTGGGTAAAGGAAGGGAAACAGGCTGCACCAAACCTTTACTAACCAGAACCCCTAAAGAGTTGTAGTTTTCCCTGCGTGGTTGGTGGGCCAGGAGCAGTGACAGCTGCTAGAAATGCAGACTCTCGGGCCCAGACCTGAAGCGAATCAGAATCGGCATTTTAACGAGCTCCCTCCAAGTGTTTCTGTGCGCTTGAACGTCGGCGAATCGTGTCACTACGTGATCCTAAGAATCCCTAAGATTTCATAGAAACCAGCCCCGAGACTTGTTTTGTCTGGGCTCTGGGGTAGTTTTGTTTTGAGCTTACATTTAGAAATGTTAGGGCTTCGCTCTTCTGTTCTAATGGTCCCCGCCCCTCACTTGAGCTCAGGACTCGGGGAGTAGCTGCTGGTGGGATCCCAGGAGCTCCCGGAGCTGGTCTGGCCTGGCTTGTGAAATCCACAAACTCCGTAGTCCTCCCACCCTCCTTCCTAAAGGCTGAGAACGAATGAGTAAGAAATCTAAAATCCAGCACTTGTAGCTTCTGGTTACTTGAGGTGGTGCTGCTAGAATGAGTAATTTAGCGCAATTTAAAAAACGTTGGTTTTTTTTAAAGATTTCATTTATTTATTTGACAGAGACACAGCGAGAGAGGGAACACGAGCAGGGGGAGTGGGAGAGGAGAAGCAGGCTTCCCGCTGAGCAGGGAGCCCGATGCGGGGCTCGATCCCAGGACTCTGGGACCATGACCTGAGCCGAAGGCAGACGCTTAACGACTGAGCCACCCAGGCGCCCCTAAAAAACATTTTAAATGGAGTCTGGAGATGATGAGTTAAAGTTTAAAAAAAACAAAAAGAAAAACCCAGATGTGCGTGCATGCGCGCACACACAGTATTTTTTAAAAAATTATGTACATTCTTAAATATCTCTCTTCAGATTTTCTCTGTACTTGGGTCCCGGGGATTGAGGGCAGGCCACGTTGCTGGCACAGGGCCTGACAATGTGACTCGAGCCCTCACTCCCCTGTCCCTTCCCAGGCCACCCCCTCCTTGCCCCCAGAATCCCCCACTTCCACCCTTCCTCTCTCCTTCCATCCCACCTGTGAGGATGGCCTGTGATTCAGGGGAGCCTCCAGGCAGAGTTGACCCGGGATTACCGGATTACACGCGAGAAGACTAGCATGGGCAGGCTGGGGCAGGAAGTCCTAGGGGAGGAGGAGCTTGAGCCCAAATCCAGTTTAGGGTAGAGGTGGAGGCAGCAGGGCTGAGCAGGTCCCTTCCCGCCTTCACCTCTGCCTTGTCCGGAGACCTGAGTGGGCAGACGTGACCCGGGAGGAGCCTGTAGAGGTCGAGAGAGTGGAGGCCCAGCCCAGAGCTCACAGAGCTGGTGGGAGAAGGGCCGGGAAGGTCGAGGCGCAGTCTCCCCATTTCTGTGGAAACTTCCTTCCTGGGCCCAATCAGTGTCCTAGAGCCCCGCTCCCCACCGGCCTCCAGCCCCCTTCACCTGCTCACCCCTGTGGTTCCTGGGACGCGGGCAGCCCCAGCCCCGAGAGCACCTGGCTTGGCCATCAGGCTCTCCCCACCCTCAGATGTGTTTATACTACCTCTGCTGGCTGGCCTGCGCCGGGGGCCCCCACGTGGGGCTGTCCTCGCCTTCGGGGTGGTTCTGTAGCCCCAACCCGTGATGGCCAGCAGGGCCCTCCCGCAGCTGTTGCTGCTTCCATCCCGTAGCTGCGACTCCACATCATGTCCCGGGGCTCACTCGGCGCCTTTTCTCTGCTGCTCCTCAGGGTCGGGGCCCTGCTCCCCATCCCCAGCTGCAGTGGGCCCAGGCACCCCGCTTTGGGGGAATCTGTGACGCTGCTCGTGGGAGCCTGTGGTCACTGGGACCTCCTGGACTGTGTGCTGTGGACGCCAGGCCGTGTGCCACGGTGCTGGGTCCTGGGCGGGTGAGGACTGAAATAAAGGCGAGCTTTCTTCCATGCCACGGTGTGAGAACGTTTGGGCCTGGACGGTCCGAACACCCCTTCCCTGCGGCGTTCAAACCTGGCGTTTCCCGGGAGGGCTTCAGGTAGGGGTGAGTCTCAGCGATGGCCGAGGCAGAGGGAGGTGAGCTGAGGCCCACAGCTCCCCCAGCAACTACTCTGCTCAGGGGGTCTGCTCTGAGGGGACAAAGCAGGGAAGCCTCAGGCTTTTCAGGTTTCTAGAAAAGACCAGGGGCCCTGAGGCTCTGGAAAAGGGTGGTGTGGCCTCATCCCTGGGTCGCAGGCAGGAGAGGGGAAGGAAGACAGGAGCAGAGCTGTTCTGTGACCAGGCCCCAGGGGAGCCAGAGCCCAAGACTAAAGGAACGGGGCCCACAAATGTAGAAACCTGAGGCCCTTTCATCTCTGGGCAGGACTTCACAACTCACATCCCGCCTCTCGCCCCTCAAGAGCCTGCCACTGGGGCAGAAGAGACTGCGCCCAAGCCACCAGGGGGTGACCGGCCCATTGGTCGTCCCTTGTCTCTCAGCCCTACGTCCCGGCCCCAGGCCTGACGTTTCTGACATGATGACTCGAGATGGGCATCGGTGACTGTAACTTCCTGGCGTCCCCAGTGTCCGTGGAGCTGACCCCAGACCTCCCCCCTCCAGTCACTGCATCCCTCTGCGGCCAGGATAGCTTCGAGGGCAGGCAGGGACTTGCCGGCCGGGGCAAAGAGGCTTGGTGCTCAGAGGCTGCTGGAAGCTGAGTGAAGAAGCTGCCTGTTTTCTCTGGGGTTACTGAGAGGGCAGGACGCGGGGCCGTCCGAGACACAGGGCATCACTGACAGAGGGGCGGCGTGGCCTCTGCCCCTCGCTGGGCCTAAGGCCGGATTGGCTGTTTGAACACCGTGGGCTAGTTGTTGGCTTAAGCCAGACTGGATTCGGTGTTGTTCTTTGCAGTCCTAAGTGTCCTCAGAAGGCTGATGGTGCGGTGGGGGGGTTGGACTGGTTTAACAGGAAAGAAAAGAAGAAACTGCTGGCTTGGGAGGGAGGCAGGGAATGCAGGCTGAGTGACCAGGAGGAGACAGCCTCCAAGCCGGGACTCCACCAACAGTCAGCCAGCGCCTTTCCCTGCCCTCTGACTGGTGCTGAAAATTCCAGTTCCGGGAACCCAACCCAGGGAAAGGCTAGCACCCGAGGGGAGAACATGCACACAGCCTTGTAGCCTCATCTGGACTCCCGTGCTGACCCGGCCGCTGGAAGGTGGAGGAGCCTCCAGGTCCGACCTCAGAGCCAAGGCCCGTGAGACTGGTGCTCCCAGCTCAGAGCAGTGCTAGCAGTCGACATCCTCAGGAATTCAGTGACTAGACTTTGACAGGCAGGCTGGGGTGGGGCGGATGGCATCCCTGCTCCCGGAGTGCGGAAGGAAGTAGAAAATGGGGGGAAGGACAGTTGTGACATCTGGGATCCTTTGGTTCCCCGCAGGGCAGGGCTTGCTTCTCAGCCTAGAGACTTGCCCTTCCAAACTAAAGCCATTCTGCCACCTCCACCCAGGACACTGACCTCACCACCCATCCCTGAGTCTGTGCCTTTGGCCCTGGGACTCAGAGAAGGGCATGCTGTCCCACAGTTTACCCATTCTGCTCACAGGGACACTGATTCCGCCATTCACAAAGCATATCCCCACGTTCTGTCTTTTTTTTTTTTTTTAGATTTATTTATTTATTTATTTGAGAGAGAGAGAGAGAGAGA